TGTAGTGACAGCTGGTGCTTCCCATTTTAGTTGGGCAGTGAATTCACTCTGGGTTTTAAACTGATATTTAAAATTAATAGTTATAGGGCTAAATCTATTTAGAATATAGGATTCAGAACTTTGGATAATTCCTTTCAGGTTTGGACTACATCTCACATGGAAGACCAGGTTCCCCTGGGTAGAGAAAAAAGTCTGAGGAGGATAACATGGCTTAAGAACCTAATTCACATTTTCTCAGTGTTTCTAAGCAGGAAGAGATCATAGAGGTATAGAAGTATAGAAAGAGCTTGCTTTTAAGGGAAAAAACACAATGACATGTAAGAAATGCAAAGATAACTCACTGGAGATAACTTCCTTTTAGAAGCATTTTGTAGTGTCAAATGCATATGTCTTAAAATGGTACAGATATTCATCTGCTTTGAAAAAAAACATGGGGGATTAACCCAGGAAATGACCGTGGACTATAAAAGTTTGTGCAATTCTTCTTTCCATTTTCTTTTCTCCCAGGCCTCTTCCCCTCTAAGGTCATATGAAAGGGAAATTCCACTTAACTCCCCATTTATAATAGTAACAGGCAGGGCATTTTTAACAAAAACTCCACGGAGAATCAGGCTGGTGTAATATGTGGCTAGTGCAAACTTGCTGCCTCTGGGAGATTACCACCATCATGTCAAGCGGCCAATAAAAACATAAGAGTTACTGTGTTGACCAGACCTCTAGTCCATCTCAGTCAGCACTTTGTCTGTAACAGTGACCCGTGAGATGCCTCAGAGAAGTTCACAAGAAGGGCACAGTTGCGATCGGCATCCCATTGTTAATCCCTAACATCTGGCAATAAGAATATGTGGTCCTTGCAAACAGAGGTTTTGATTTTGTTTGTGGGTTATTTCCCAGAGATGAGCCTGACCCCCGGAAAGATTGTCTTCACTGTGTAGGAGCTAGCCTCAACATCTATTAATATTTCAGCATTAGATCATTACAGTCTCGCAATGGGTTCTACAAGCTTATGACTTGTTCTTGTAAAACTATTATATATCTGTTTCTGTGCAAGAGAGAGACTTCGGAAAAGTTACCTTTGGACTACAGCTCCCAGAATCTCACTGGCACAGGATTATGGTTCAAAACGTCAATTTCTTGTCCAAGTTGTTCATGGCATTCAACACTGCAATAAGGTCAAGATGGCAAACATTATTCATGAGGAAGAAATGACAAGTGAAAAGAGGCTGCAGCAGTTTGCTTCTGCCCAAGCCTACTGAGAAGGACACAATTTTGCCTCCTCAACTCTGCTTAGTTGCAGCAGTTGAAGTAAGTTGAAGACAAAAGGTGCCTCTACACGCGGCCTGCACAACCCGTTGCCCTCCTTGTGTTTCAGACTTCAGCTCCCAGAATTCCTGACATTGGACAAGCTGGCTACAGCTTCTGTGAGTTGGAGTCCTATACAATTGGGAGAGCCATAGGTTGTTTAAGGCTGCTCTACACTATAGAATGAATGCAGTTTGACTCCACTTTAACTGCCATGGTGCAATGCTATGGAATCATAGGAGTTGTAGTTTGGCAGGGCACTCCTTAGCAGAAAATATTAAAGACTTCAGAGAACTACAGCTCCCAGGATTTCATAGCACTGTGGCATGGCAGTTAAATTGGTGTCAAACTACATTCATTCCACAGTGTAGATCCACCCAAGGGGATACAGTCAGCGGAGGAGAGCAAAACTGGGACATTTTGTAGGCTGAAAATTTGGAGTGAAAATGAATGGTGTAAATAAACACCACAACCACCACCACCGCCACAACAACAATATGGGATGACAAAGAATTAGTCTGTTCCTCCAAAGATCGACAGGTGAATGGTATGAGTTGTGGAACAAGTGCTTCTTTGTTGGTCTCCATTCATCAGAAGAAGGTGTCCTTCCTGTTGGTCTGAATGGATGTGTTTACCTTTGTGTGCTTCAAATTGTGCTTCCCACACAGCACCCTGCCCAACTTAATTGAATGTGTAACATTCTGCAGATAGCAGCGGAATTGATTTATGCTCGCTGCCCAAAGTTCAACTTGGCAGAGCTGCTAAGGTAACTAGTTAATTAGTAGACAGAGTCCTGCTTTGTCCAGGTGCAACTTTTGCAGGTTTTATTCCCCCATAACACATTTCAGACGATACCGGACTGGTTTTGCTTTTTAAAAAAGCTGCTCTGATGAACAGACTGTGAGATTTGAGGTTGGTTTACTTTTTCCAAAATCAGAATTCCAGCATCTTATGCTGATTGAAACACAAATCTCTTCCTTATTGTGCAGACAGATATTTCTCACTGCACTTCCCTTGAAAAAAGCCTTGTGGTTTCTCCTTGTTTGCTTGCTCTCTTTTGGAGACTCTCATTCTTTTTCAACTTGGTATCTTCTGTACATTTTAGACGTGTTCCTCATTCAGTGGCTGATGCACAGTCCGGGCTGTTGCACACAGTTTGTGACTGGATGACATATGCAGGGGGAAGTATTTAGTGACTAATTCCTAAGGGGAGGAGAAACTGAAGGTTTGTCATGTGGAAAAGTACTTTAACCTATTGAAGGAGTGCTGTTTAGAGGACGATGGGCCACCCTTCGTTGCTGCAGCAAGAGCGGATAGTGTTCTTAATGCAGAAAATCCTTCCTGGAGAAGAGGGATATGTCATAAAGTCGCTTCTTAGACCGAGCCTTTCAAACTCAGAACGCAAAGAGCTGTAACATGTGGAAGGCAGACTAATGATCGTACCGCTCTACCAATAGAGCTGATTAAATTAATGTAAGTGCCTTTTATTATTTGCAGACAAAAGAAGAAGCAGAGAGAGAGAGAGAAAATATATTGGTGTTTGGGTTGCAGTAATGCTTGTGTTGCCTCCCTGGTAATATTGCTTTAGCTGTAATAACAGAAGGAACTAATATAAGGATTTGAGAGATAATAACTAAGTGCGGTTGAAAAGCTTTTGTGACTGGAGAGGAGTATCGGGAGAAGAGGGTCCTTTCATGCATGCACAAATAACAAAAAGTCAGGCAGTTGCATTGTAATGCAGTGATCAGCCATTAGAAGATGACATAAAGAATGGCTTGTTATCTTTTTAAGACTAATGGGAATAGCGGGGGTGCCTTCAGTGGTTAACAGGACACACATCTGCTTGTATTTCAATGTAAAATCACATTTCAGGCAGATAATAAATCAGGGATACTTGTTTTCCTGCTGGAATACTCTGTATAATAAGAGGAGTAAATTTATTATTGCTTAAAAATGTGAATAAGGGTAATACCAGATTCAAATATGACTACTGTAAAGATTAAGAACTGGTTTGGGATACAGGTTTGTTTACTTAAAAAAAACATTTTGTAAAGCAATGGAATAGTAACATTGAAACATAACCTGAAGTTAGCACTGCAGTATTCCAGCATGTGCATGTTTCTGTGAATTGCATAAAATATACTATAAATACCAAGGGCATTTTAGTCTCCATATATATACATACACACACACACACACACCATCTCAGGCAGCAACAAGTCGTCATAACTGGTGAAGTGTTACATATGTGTGAAACTTTCACTGTCTGAGTTAAATTAGAATGCAGACTTAGCTATTCCCAAAGAGAGTAAAATTCCACAAAATATGAGGTTTTGGTGGGGAAAGGCTTTTGTCTGTGAAGTACGTTATAGATCTAATTACATATATGTAGTACACTGCCTTACAATCACTGGGAATTTGGAACTGGCCACTATTTCAGAGCAGGTGTTCTCCACATGGAGACGTGGTGTAATATATCTCAGGCATGGTTATCTACAAGTAGATTATCTCTCTTTGCTCGCCAGAAGTCCCTTCCTTGCTAAAATGTTATCTTGAAAGAAGCCGGAAGACTAATCATGTTTTCCGAGGTGGGGTTACAAATGATGGAGAATTGCTTAAAATGAACACGGATGCACTAAGGTGTCTGAAAGTGGGATGACCTACAATCTACATGTGGTTTCAACCTAAGCTGTCTGTCACAGTTTGTATTCTCCAACAGCATAGGGGAGGTGGCAAATATAAATGCTACTTGAGGGTTTTGTGTTAGTTCTTTAAAATGTTACATGCTATCCTAGAAGACATATGTTTTTGAAAGTGGCATATAATTAGTATAATAAAATATGTAAAGTCTATGTCTATCAATTTTCTAAAATCAGCAATATTGAGAACTTCAACCAATAAATAGCATCTTACCCATGAAAGCCAAGCAAAATGACATAAAAATCCAATTCATGATTTCATTATTGTATGTTGGGATAAAGGATCTTAAAATTCCCATAGGAATAAATAGAAAGGGAGGCAAGAGAGTTCTACAGCTGAAATGCCCCTATAATTTGTGTGCCCTAAGTGATCTTAATGTATGTGTGTGTCAGGAGTTACTTGAGAAACTGCAAGTCACTTCTGGTGTGAGAGAATTTGCCATCTGCAAGAATATTGCCCAGGGGATACCCGGATGTTTTGATCCTTCTGGAAGGCTTCGCATGGGGAGCTAGAGCTGCCAGAGGGAGCTCAACCCACTCTCCCCAGATTTGAACTATTGACTTATCGGTCAGCAATCCTGTTGACACAAGGGTTTAACACAATGCGCCACCGGGGGCTAGTGATCTTAATAATGGGTATGTTTACCCATAGGTCTTCCTGTAGGTTCTTAAAGTCTTCTAAGTTTATATGGATGAAAGGGCCACCACATAGTTAAAGTCCTGCTTTTTATTGTACCATGTGGTTGCTCTATTTTAAAAAAGTAAAAGTAATAATATTAGTGATTTTTGATAAATAGTTACTTTTAAATTAGAGTTGTAATGGAAACAAGCTGCTTTGATCCCTTGGTATTATAGCTGTAACCAATTACCTTTGGTAGTTAACTTTTCCATTATAGATGACAGTTTGATTTAAATAATTATAGGAATATTTTTGTCACTATAGCTTTGCTTTGGTTCGTCTATAATAAGGTTTCTGAACTGGATTTCTCTCTGTTGCAGATGCAGAGGGACATCTTTTCCAGTTCTTCTCGGCCAGGATCAGCTGCTCATCCTCCTCCTCCTCATGCACTTCCAACCTCTCCACCTGCTACCCCAGTGCCCCACTCTATGCCCCCTTCCCCATCCAGGATCCCCTACAGCAATGTCAGACCAGTCAGTGGCCCTGGCAACGCAACTATCCCCAGGGACAGGCTTTCAAACATGCCAGCTTCACGGTCTATCTCACCAAGCCCTAGCGCCATCTTGGAAAGAAGGGACGTGAAGCCAGATGAGGACATGGGTAACAAAACCCTGACTCTCTATCGGAATGAGGGCCTCTATGCTGACCCCTACTTGTACCATGACGGCAGGATGAGCATCGCAGGTTCTCACACAGGACACCCTCTTGACATACCTGACCACGTCATCGCTTACCATCGTAGCACAATGAGATCTTCAAGCACTTACTGTAATCCTATGCAGCCTGAAATTATGGAGCAGACGCTATATCGGCAAAAATCAAGGAAATACGCTGACAGCCATTTGCCAACTCTTAGTTCCAAAACGCCTCCCACCTCGCCTCACAGAGTGGCCGAGATGCGGATGATAGACATTCACGCCCATCACAACACACCAATGTCTCCCCATGCCATTCACCTTGACAGGTCATCTCCTGGGCGCCAGTCTCTCAAGAAAGATCCAGGAACTCCTGTGTTTGTGGAGGGAAAGCCAAGAAACATGATGGGTTTACATGGCATGACTGAGGTAGTCCCGTCTGTACCAGACAAGAAAGCATTTGGCTATGGAACAGTAGTGATACCCAAAGAAACGGAGACAAGGTAAGGCAGAGCAAGACTGTATGGATTTAAACTGCCCTGAGACATATCAACAGACCATACCCCAGTTGGTAAGACAGAAATCTTTCGCTGTATCCAGATTACAGTTATCTCATAAATAAAGTCCTTCCCTTGGGACTGAGACTCATTCTACCCATTGGTAAATCATAGGTCCTCTTCCAGTGAATACGTCCTTAGTACTGTATATACTCAAGTATAAGCCTAGTATAAGCCTTTGTATACTCAAATGTAATATACTCAATTGTAAGTCTCAGCTTATATTCAAGTCAAGGTTATTTATTATTTTACTCTGTTGTTGTTATTATTATTCTTATTATTATTACATTTATTATTTTACTCTATTATTAAATTTATCATTTTACTCTTATTATCATTGCATTTATTATTTTACTCTATTATTACTGTTATTACTCTATTATTATTATATTTATTATTTTACTGTATTGTTACTGGAAGGATACGTAAGCACATTTACATTGAAGGTTAGAATAATGGTTTAATAAGAGTTGAGCAGTATTATCTTAAATTGCAGTTTTATGTAAATATTCAAAAACACTTAACCTACTGATGCCTCATTTAATGTAATTGCATTGATATCTATTTTTATTTTGAAATTTACCAGTAGTGACTGCATTTCCCACCCTTGGCTTATACTCGAGTCAATCCATTTCCCCAGTTTTTTATGGTAAAATTAGATGACTCGGCTTATATTTGGATTGGCTTATACTCGAGTATATACGGTACTTTGTTTCCTTCTAGGAATGATAGTGATGCCTTCATAGTTTGTAAAATCTAAGCAAACTGTTCTTATCACACTAGGTCAAACGATACGTAAATCTAAAAGCAAAATTACCAATTTCATTAGTTTTGATTTGCATATTAAAAAATCAGGAATGGGATTATCACAGGCATGGGCAAACTTGGGCCGTCCGGGTGTTTTGGACTTCAACTCCCACAATTCCTAACAGCCATGGCTGTTAGGAATTGTGGGAGTTGAAGTCCAAAACACCCAGACGGCCCAAGTTTGCCCATGCCTGGGTTATCAGAAGGGGATTTCTTCTCCTCAGCCATGATTCCAATTAAACGCTCATCCACACTTCTATGAGCTCTAATTGGAAAAAACTCCTATTTTCAACATTCAAATTTTACTTTCCATCTTAAGATGAATAGCATTATGGGAACAATTTTCATTGAGACAATGGCTAGAAAATTAAACCATCTCTTTCTGATTGCTCTGATCCTAATAAAAAGTCTCTCACATATATTCACATTCGTTATTTAATTTTAAAAGTGATGAAGTTGCTAATGATAAATTTAGCACCATGTTCAACCCTGATTTATGCAGTATGCAATAGAAAGGAGGGACATTTAACAACTGTATGCAGTATCTTCTATAATAGATAATACCCCATTTATATTGCCCCAGACTATAGTCCCTCTTAGTTAATAATTTTGAAATGTAGTTACAGTAGGGTCTCGCATATCCAACATAAACAGGTTGGATAAGTGAAAATGTTGGATAATAAGGAGGGATTAAGGAAAAGCCTATTAAACATCAAATTATGTTATGATTTTGCAAATTAAGCACCAAAACATCATGTTTTACAACAGATCGACAGAAAAAGCAGTTCAATACATGGCAACGTTATGTAGTAATTACTATATTTACGAATTTAGCACCATAACATTGCAATGTATTGAAACAACTGTGGATCCAGGTGGGCAGTAGACTGCATTGGATAATGAAGAATGTTGGATGAGCGAGACTCTACTGCATTTAGTTATATGGACAGAACTGAAGCAAGAGAGAAACCAATTTTATTTCTGGAATTATATTTATGTATTTAATCTACAGTATCACCAAGCTTGATTTTTAGCACAATGAATGGGTGAATCACATCTTTCCTTTTATCATTCCAGTACATTACAAACATTCCTTTATCATGTGAATGAACTTACCTGTGTAGATCCATGAGACAACTTGATTGTGTATACCCCCTTGTCCTCTTCAGTTCAGTACATTACCATTTCTGTTTTCTGTATGAAATCAAGTTGGCTTTTTCTTCCTCATTTGTTGCTCAGAAATTAATGGAATTTATCACTGGCTATCCTGTCTGCTGTAAAACAAGAACAGAACATTTTGCTTTTGATCTATTTGTTAGGAATGGGAGTTGAAATCAACAAGTTTGTTCCAGTGAGAAAAATGGGCCCAATTAATGGTGTTTAGTTCAGTTTTATGCCTCCTGGTGGTGCAGCGGGTTAAATCGCTAAGTTGCTGAACTTGGTGGTTGGTGGTTCAAATCCGGGGAGCAGGGTGAGCTCCTGTTGTTAGGCCCAGCTTCTGCCAACCTAGCAGTTTGAAAATATGCAAATGTGAGTAGATCAATAGGTACCGCTTCTGCGAGAAGGTAATGGCATTCCATGAAGTCATGTTGGCCACATAACCTTGGAAGTGTCTAGGGACAATGCTGGCTCTTTGGCTTAGAAATGGAGATGAGCACCACCCCCTGGAGTCGGACATGACTAGACTTAATGTCAAGGGGAAATCTTTATCTTTAGTTTAGTTTAGTTTAACTTTAAAATTTCATTGTTATGTGCTCTAAAGGACTCTCTCTCCAGGATGACGCCACATTTCCAAACCTTGTGATCCCATCATTAATCCTGTCATTAATAATGTCCTTCTAATCCAGGCGTGGGCAAACTTTGGCCCTCCAGGGCCAAGTTGGAAGTTTTGGACTTCCAACTCCTACAATTCCTAACAGCCGGTGGGAGTTGAAGTTCAATTGTGGGAGTTGAAGTTCAAACACCTGGAGGGCCAAAGTTTGCCCATGCCTGTTCTAATCACAAGGTCCCTCCCTGGATCTGGTACTTGGACTTGAAGTGGCTGCTACTCTGAACTAGTGGTTGTCTGTCTTGTTCAATGGGTTTGGTGTGGTAAACCATTTCTTCCTTCCATTTCTTAGATGAAAACCTTCAGACATTGCTGTAGAAAATAAAACCAGTAAAGATTTGCTATATAACAAATAAGTTAAACATGATCTCAGTGAACTCTGTCCACACTATGCCTGCTTCTTGGCAGGGGGTTGGACTTTTCCAACTCTTTGATTCTATGATTACCAAAACTGTATTCAGATTGGGTTGCTGTGAGTTTTCCGGCCTGAATGGCCATGTTCCAGAAGCATTCTCTCCTGATGCTTCACCCACATCTATGGCTAGCATCCTTGAAGGTTGTGAGGTCTGTAGGAAACTAGGTAAGTGAGGTTGATATATCTATGGAATGTCCAGAGTGGGAGAAAGAACTCTTGTCTGCTTGAGACAAGTATGAATGCTGCAATTGATCACCTTGATTAGCATCAAATTACTTCGCAGCTTCAAAGCCTGGCTGCTTCCTGCTTGGCAAAATCCATGGTTGGGAGGTGTTAGCTGGCCCTGATTGCTTCATGCCAGGATTTCCCCTATTGTTTGAGTGTTGCTTTTTATTTACTGTCCTGATTTTAGAGTTTTTTTAAATGCTGGTAGCCAGATTTTGTTCATTTTAATGGTTTCCTCCTTTCTGTTGAAATTGTCCACATGTTTGTGTATTTCGATGGCTTCTCTGTGTAGGCAGATATGGTAATTGTCAGAGTGGTCCAGCATTTCTGTGTTCTCAAATAATATGCTGTTCTCAAATAATAACCACTTTATCTGATTTGGTTTGACCTTTAGCATACTTTTCTATGTTTTTATATGAGGTCAGAGATAATTTGCTAGACTCACAAAGGTTAAGCAAGGCATTTATTCAACCCATAAAGAAAATGGTAATAGCATACACTCTTCTTAAGACTCTATAACAGCTTGAGTGATTAGTATGGGAAGGAAATAGCTACAGTGTACCTGATAGCAGAACCACTGAAGTGTACGGTAGAAGGCTTCAAGCATGTCAGCAGAAAAGCAATGATTTTCACTCCCCAAAACAATTTTTAAAATCTATCATGTTTCAGATACTTTGAAACATCTTTCTCTTCCTTCTCTTTCCTCTTCTACTATTACTACTTCTTCTTTGTTCAGATCTTTGTTTTGACATGTTCTTTTGGAAGGCAGTCATGTCCACATACTTTATCTCCAAACTGTGGTCTTTCTAGAGCTTAGCACTAATGAAATCTAAGGCAGGTTAGCTGCAACAGGCTATTTTAGGAGTATTTAATGTCTTTACAGTTGACCCTCCATAGCCACAGATTATCCATGAAATTAACCATCCACAGCTTGATCTTTAAATAAAAATTCCAAATAATATAAACTTTTATTTTTACCATAAGGACACACCATATTGCAACATCTAGTATATCATGGGACTTGAGCATCCACAGATTTTGGAGGCCCTATAACCAAATGCCATTGGATATTATGGGCTCACTGTATTTTTAAAACTGACGTATAAACTGATACTGTCATTGGTTTTTATTATGTTTGATAACTTTTGCTTACTGCTCCTAAGACTTTGGGAGAAAGTTGTTTTTAAGTAACCTTTAGTATTTTTGAATATATATTTTAAGGAAACTTTATAAATAGCATTACATGTGTTAGTCACTTTCTAAAATAATGAGTAATAACAATAAGTCATTCTGCTCACCTCATGCCCCAGTGATGAGTAGCAAGCAATAAACCACTTTTAAAACAAGAGGTTTCAAGTCTTACGTCTTCCCTAGATAAATATCCGAGGCAGATGTGAAAATGGGGAGATGACTGTACAGTCTGGGGAACAAAACAATTGCATAATATAACCTCTTTTACATTTTTCAGGTTTAGGGGCAAGATCAGGCAACTTTATAGCAGGTAGTCACACAGGATTAGCTTTGTGATAACACTTGATTCTGAGGCTAGAGAGAATTCTGAGACTAATAGAATTTAGGCTTGATTTAATTGCAGTTCCCACTTCAGAGTGCCAGGGAATAGACCAGGGGTTCTCAACCTTTTTACCAGCTGTTAGGATTTCTGGGAGTTGA